TCATTTGGAAATACAGCGTCGTGTCGACACCAAATATGCGTGTCATATCTTTCATAGACATGCAAATACACTCCACAATATTGCCATATGTATGTAGAACGCGTTCGAATCACCTTATACTCGTATATGTACGCGAGAAAAATAAGTATATATGCTAATATATACAATACATGTGACAAATTATACTTATTTTATTGTGTGAGTCAGTTATTTTGTTGTTTGAGTCAGTTGTCTCTTGACAGGAATATATTATATGTTAAAGTACAATGTTATATTGTATAAATAGTTTTTGAATTATAAGCGACTGGAATATGATCTATCATTTAATTTAATTTTAAATGGATCTTATATTCTAACGAGACTAAAAAAGTAAGATTTTAAACTATTTGTAAGAAGTATGAAAAATGAAAATTGATAGTACCAATCAGCTGTTTTTCTGCCAAGAAAAAAAAACCGGCTTTAAACTCTTTAAAGATGAAATTTGTCAGATACGTTACGAAAAGGCTCTGTATATGTGCATACTCAGAATTTATATTGCCTGTTGCTCGCGTACAATCTCATTTCTTCAAACGCGACACACACACACACACACACACACACATCTATATATAAGTAAACCGTTCGAGCGACATCTCATTATTAATAGAAAATTCATTAGTAATATAATCGCTTAATTTTGCTCGAAAACGTTTTTCAGGGAAGCTTGCTCTTTCATACAAGCTATTCTTGCTATTCTTCTTTTTCTTTTTTTTTCCTTTTTTAAGCCAAGTGAAATGATTAAAGTGCTGTGTGCGATTCTTCGTGGCTACGTTGCGTTCTACACGCGAACTCGCGATAGTATACTTTCATTATGTATGTATCTATTGTCTTTCGCGTTTAATTAGGTGTGTGATAAGCAAAGATCTTGTCAAATTCGAGGTTGCAACGATAATTTTTGTTATCGCAGAAATTATATAAATTTCAAGACACATGTATATCGATACCTTATATTAATTTTTATAATTGTATTCCGGATATTATTAAGAATTTAATAATATCCGATAATTTTCCATATTGTAAATGCAAAATAGGATTATTTATATTGTGTAATTTGCATTTTTGTGTCACCTTGATATATCTTCTTAACACACGCCTGAACATGACGTTGACATTATCGCTATTGCCGAAAAATTACGTGCTTCTCTCTCTTTACATACTTTTCCCCAAGATCATTTCTTCCCTTTTCCTTCTCTCATCAGCGATATCGCGAGAAGAGAGGAAAGAATTTTCGGGGACTCTCCTTGAGTCGCATCGAACATAACTAAAATCGAGTTCACCGAGAAAGAATTTTATGTACCTGTTACGACTGATTATTATCGTGCACTAATCGCTATATAAGAGCAGTGAGAGAGAATACGTGTATATGTATGTGTACATACACATGTCTCGTTGTGTGCGTATGTATATATATATATTTATATAGTATATTATATCGTACTGTTACGATTGTTTTGTAACTATCGTTAAATGTCATTGGCTGCTTGTTATTGACGGCTTGCGATCTGCGGCTAGCTGAACTGTATGTACATATCGAGTTTTAAGGGCGCGTGGAGACCGTATGTACGGAGGGGTCAGTTGCACCACATGAATTGGCTACCTTGGATTAGCGATTTTTAGGCTCTCTTACTCGCTTCTTTCGTTATTAGATTAGATGCGTACACCAAAGAAGAATAATAATTTTCATCGATGGAGAGCAGTGATGTCTTGATTCTTGCCAGATCGAGCGAGCAATAACGTAGACACATAATCGAAAAATTTATCAATTTCCATCGCATTTGTACGCTAACCGACATTGGTACAACGGGCCTGGATCGTACGAACGCGTCGTGGGCCCAATTGTTTAAGGCGTGCAATGTTCGCCTGCATATCACTTGCACGATTGTTTTTGCAAATGATGCGCGAAAGAGATAGATGATACCTTAATGACTCTCTTTAATGAACGACTGAGAACCGTGTCCCAGGAAATGAACGAAAGGGTCGGTCTTGTAGGTACATTAACGTATGTCATAACCGTTAATTTATTCGTAGCCGTATTTCTATCGAGAGATCCCTTATTTCGCAATATTATTCCACAATGTTCGGCTACAACAATCTTCGATCGTTTATCGAGGTCGAGTCGAATAAACATAGGATATCTTTCATGAATACTTATTCATTTTCATCCATTTGATGATATATTTTCTCGCGGCGAAGTCTGCAAGCACGGCGTGGTCACATTTCCCTATTTAATAATTGTACCTGTATAGTGTGTCGTTTAATTAGATCTATTTTCTACGCTCTGCCAGCATCGTGTGTTTGGCGTTTTACATAATAAAATAATTCCCGAATATTGTGCGCGTGCGACACGCGCGAAAACCGCCCAGGATATTAACGGGCCACAAGGAGAGAAAATATACATTGCAGATTGCGATTTTAACTACTTTTCCAAACAAAAAAAAAAGAAAAGAAAAGATTTGTAGTCTTAGACTCCGTTTCTCTCGTTCCTTTCACGCGAGCGTCGCCCGGTGGATGTGTATCTTTCTCTGACAATGAGAATAAAAAAATAGTACGGAAAATATAGTTAAAGGATCACATAAGATGTAAGAAAGTAATTAAATTTGTCGCGGATAAAGTCATAGAAAGTTGACAAATTATAACTGATTGACCATTATATAAAACGACCAGCTTTTAAAGAGAAGCATACGTCTCTGAAAGAGAAATTTTCTATCGAAGAAAATATTAGAGGATGACAAAAAAAAAGGTTCTCGATAAAAGATCGGTTTTTTTCATTCATAATTCGCTAAATATTTTCCTGTACGTTATGTTTCCTGTATGTTACGTTTCATAAGATAGACGGAGGAATTCTTTAGTAAAAATTCCTTGATAAGAACCAAAATTGAGTAATATCCTCACGGAACGGATCAGGAATTCTTGTGGGCGATGCGTGGCGCCGGGCGTAGAGTCGCAGGCTGGTAATCGAGAGATTCCGGGTTCGATTCCGCTCGGGTCCCATTCTTCCATATGACTCAAAAAGAGATTTTCACACATTATCTCTAAATCTTTGCAAAGATGAAAAAGCACAAGGAAACACTGGAGACTACTAAGATATTAAAAAATAAAACAAAAGATAAAACTCGTTTTTGAGTCGACCTTATAATCGAATATGATTTTCTCGAGTCGAGAGAATCGTACCCGACTATAAGGTCGGTATACAATTCTCTCGATTCGAGAGAATCGTACCCGACTATAAGGTCGGTTCAAAAAACGCGTTTTATTTTAATTTTTTTTCCTTTTTTATTTTTTAATTTTTTTATTTTATTAACACTCTTCAAGTGACAAGAAATTGATCAAAGTCTAACGCGTCAAATCTCCTTTTTTATAGCATCATTCTCTGGATCTTATTCGATGAAACGAGATACGATCTAAATCTCTCGCAAAGACCTAGAAATTTGGATTTTGCCGCTGACATTGTGTTTTCCAAAAGCGTGCGCGCTTTTCATACGCGGGAAATGGTACTCTTAATTTTACTCGCCATATCTTACTTTAGCGATATTAGAATCATAATAAAGACGAAAAGAGAAAAGCAACTCGGAGATGCGGTATCTTTGGTGCACATCCATCGGGCGAATCGGTATCACGCGAGAGCCATATAATCGGGCTTATTATACTCTGATATACTCGCGGCATTCAAGAAGAATGGCATTCAACGATAAAGAAAAAGAACTGTACATATATATACGTGCGTTTACTATTATCTACTTATTATTACGAGACTTACTCCTAAGAGATCTTTGGCTAAAATACTTTATAGAAGTGAGACACTCTCTCTCTCTCTCTCTCTGATCGCGAGGAGAACGACAAAACAGAGATCGCATATACATTGTTTAGCGCCATTGTGACTCTATCCCCTTCTTAAGAGAATAAGAGCATATACATATATATATACATATATATATATTTGTTTATATATACATATACATGACACGTATATAGGCGCATTGGTACTATTATTATTATCATTATTATGGTTAACGTTACACGATTCTTATCATTATTGATATCGTCTTCACTATTATAATTATCATTGTCGTGTGGAGAGGATACCCGATGAGTAATTATTATATAAATAAATAAAAGAGGAAAAATCTTATACTTATACATAATTATAAATACGTCATGAGAGACGATATATTCATAAACGATTAATTATTACGCGGTAACACATAATGACATTATTATTACTATTATAAATAACACCCTATTCCCATCTGTTGTGAATGTTTACGTTGTTTTATGATATTTAGAATATTCTAAAAATAAAGTCTATAATTTCCACGAAAACTCGTATTTTATGTCTTGTTCCTGTCTTCAAATATTTTTTTACAAGTGTTACGAAATACTCAAATATTATAATTATATGATATTATAATTAATATATTTATTATTCGTATTTGCAAAAATAACAAGCTCATATAAATTTTAGTTATAGATATACCAATTTTTTCAAATCGATACAAATTATTTAAAAATAATAAATCTTGTTTATTATCAATTAATTCGATGCGTTATTTGCAACCTGAAAGATGAATAAAATTATGAGGCATTATATCACATTTTGTCAACATGAGACGGAGAGTCGGTTAGCCGAGGAATTTATTAAAGTTTATCGACGATCTCTTGTCCGTGGCGCACCAGGTTGCGGGGTTCGCGGGGCAACGGTAAATGCGAGCGCGTCGAGTCAACGTAACGTCACATTTCGCGACGCGACGGATTCACTCTACGTAAGTTTGCCGTCGAGCCGCGACGCCGAAAATTATTTCGTGGATATTCGACAACGCTGATAAATATGTAAACGAGGACGCGCGTTATCAGGCTGTGCGCGCGTCCGTGGATCAGCAGCGTCTAGAGAGACGTGTCGTTCGTGGCGTATTTTCCCCTTTTCGATTTTTAACCTGCGCGTCGAGGAAGCGGACGGAAAGGATATCGAGAGAACTAGAGAACGAAGGAAAAGCCGCTGTATGCCAAAATGTCATTCGAGGGAAAATACAACGCCAAGAGTCCGGGTGAGTCAACGTGTCGAGATATGCTAATTGCGCCGGTATACTTAATTATTTTGACTCGTCAACACTATTGCTTATGCAACTTTTTAACATATTTCTACTAAACTGTTATATATTCGTAGTCTGATTATTAGTTTACAATACTCAATGTTGTACAATACCAAATGTCTTTTTCAATGCCAAATGGCATTGTTCTTTCACATATTGACATTAGACATTTTATGCATATGTCTGTATATTGCGTAGCATGAAATAACGTAGATGAATGCAAACGGCATCTTAAGTATTATAAAAGCCATTGTATTGTTATGTTTCAGCGGTGAAAAGATTAATGAGAGAAGCGCAAGAGTTGCACGAAGCTACCGAAGAGTATTATGCGTCTCCTCTTGAGGAGAACCTATTTGAATGGCATTTTACAGTGCAAGGACCGCCATCCACAGACTTTGAGGGTGGTGTTTATCATGGGAGGATCTTATTACCACCAGAGTATCCTATGAAACCACCAAATATCATTTTGTTGACAGTAAGTAGATATAATAGGAACTGTATATGATATATAAATTATGTTGAATCAGCACTACATGTTCTTTCAATTTAGCCAAATGGCCGTTTTGAAACAAATAAGAAAATATGTCTGAGTATTTCTGGTCATCATCCTGAAACGTGGCAACCATCATGGAGTATTAGAACAGCACTGTTGGCTCTGATAGCTTTCATGCCTACACCAGGAAGCGGCACCATTGGTGCATTAGATTACAGTACTGAGGAACGGCAAAAACTTGCCAAAAAGTATTGATACTGTTTATTAAATATAACATCGCGAGTCATATCCTTATCTGATTGATTGTTGCATTTCAGATCATTGAACTGGCAATGTGATACATGTGGAAAAGTTGTAAACTTGTTGTCCAAGAACTCGGTTAAAAAACCTATCACTGAGGAAGAGCAAACTATGCTGAATACAATTGCCCTAAAGGTAAATAATTACATTATTTTAAATATGAAAATGTTTTCTAGATCTATCTTTAATTATTGTATAATTAAGAAAGTCAATTTAATCTTGTGTAATTAAGAAAGTCAATTTAATCTTATGTAATTAAGAAATTCGTAAACTCTATCACATTTTAAAGCGAAAACTTAAATAGATATTTGTAAAAAATACTATTATAGGCCGATGATTCACCTACATCAGATGTATCTTTCGCGGATAATACGGGAAGTTCACCCGAGAGCGAAATACGGCATCGTAACGTGGAAACGATTTCGGCGGAAAATGCAGATCGTCAACAACCTGATATTATTCTAAATCACGTAGAGACAATGTCGTCTTCAAACGATTTATTTTGGAGTATTCTTATCGCCTCATTAGTATCCGCGATTATTCTATTGATTTTACGACGATTATTTCTTGTTTAACTTATTCTTTTTTGAAAGACAAAAATATGTCTGGGAAATAAAGCAAATTTTATACATGTTTTATGGATATCGTTAATAAGACAAAAAAACAATCAGATTCATATATAACACAAATTGTCTGATTTTCATAAAAACATATATAATACACGACGAAAGTATGCATTAATATATTATATATCTCTATATTTTTTGTTCTTGTAGAACTGCACTTATATTTATCTTATAAATTCTTTCAATTATTGTTAATATAATATATTACTAGTCGCTTTTGTCAATCGTAGTATTGAAAAATGAATCACATATGAATAACAATATAGATATTATTTTAGTATATTAAATGGCAACTAATTCGAGATTTTAATACTGTGTAATAGTTGTCATTGATAATACACTCTTTATTAATTATGTAATAATATTATTATCTTTAAATATTTTTCTGTGCTGCCTACATATATAAATCAAATATATTCAGATAATTAAAATCAGTATATTATTTTTATCGGTAAATTATATTGTGCAATTTAGCCTAATATGATAATATTTTGTAATAAACATATAAGCTATACAGAGATATATGTGTAATTCTATAGCTTTCGTACACTTTTCATATATGTATAGTCACACTGTAATAAAATTTAATGTGTAATATAATCTGTTAGAAGAAAAGGATTTAGAGCAGGATATTGTTTAAATGGATTTTTTGTATGTACATAGAAATATAATAAAGTAACTATTTATTAAAGCATATATAAACATATTACTTCTTAACATTCATTACAGTCCACGTATAGTAATATTTCTCAATTCCGCACCCGCTTTTACATTCATTGAACTATAACATCTTTTTATACTTTAAGTTGATATGACATTTTTTTAAGAATATTTATTTCTAGCACCCAAATATTTGAAAAGAAAAAAAAAGTACTTAAACTTGTGTGAATCACATTTAGGTCATGTGCATGTTGCAATACAAAAAAATTATATATAT